TCAGGCCTAACCAACTACCAGACTCGGCACCTAAGGATCCTGAATTAACCGGTATATCGGACCACACTACCCGTTTTCAAGGTGTGTGTCAGATCGCATTTCGGAGTATCAGTCAGAACACCGACAGGATGAGCCCACGCTCGGCTGTCACCTTGATTGGATAGTAAACGATTGTCGTATTTAATCGCTATATGATTTTTAAACCGGGTGCATAAATTTGAAAGCTACCTAGATGAACCTTAGACTGCCACATTAATCTAATACAATGCAAAATAGCCCTATCAAAAGTGGTTAAAACATTCAAACCGAATGTCGTAAAGTCCCCATATACCCCATAGAGACAATGAAATAGAGTACTCTAAAGTAAGAGTACTGTTTAAGGTTGTTCAGCCGAGCGTGGATGAGCTCGAAGTTGTCCTACAAAATTTGTTCTGGGATATGATACTCCGAAATACGATCTGACACACACCTTGAAAACGGGTAGTGTGGTCCGATATACCGGTTAATTCAGGATCCTTAGGAGCCGAGTCTGGTAGTTGGGTAGGCCTGACATTACCCAAACTACATTTTCCGACTGCCATTAAATGGTAGTCGCAGCCCTCTTTGTCTTTAACACGATGAGTACTGTTGTCGGCATCAAGAAGTCACTCACGCCTTACGCAATGCCGCTATCGTCAGTTTATGAAAATTAATATGTAATTATGAATATTTGAGTAGTTTTAGTCGCCAGCAGCTATATCAGTGGGCACATACTTGACCTGGGCGCAGCTATATTTTGTAAATTGTTTTGTTTTCTTGTTTTTATTTTATATCTTATATGTTAATTTATATTGATTTGGATGATATTAGGTAATTGTCTTCATCTTATCGTAGTGTAATAAGTCAGTGGGGAGCTTAAAAAAGTTTTCATCCTCTACATCGGCATTTGGTTATTTAACATTATTTTAAACAATACCGGTTTCTCCTGGCCTTCATATGTTGTTACTTACTTTTAAGTCGCCATATTATTTAAGTATTTATCACCAAAAAGTATATAAGAAAACTAAAACTGAACAACACCTCTATAATTATACCGTTATTTTGCATTGTCGTTCTTTACATGTTCACCGCTCCCTTCCTCGCTATTTTTTTTCTGTATCTATATTTTTTAATTTTTCAGTCTTCTGTTATTTCATGATTATAAATGTATTTCTATCTTCTCTTTTTTGTTAGTTCCACCGCTACATTCCAATGCATTGTATTCGAATACCACTGCATTTGAAGTGGGTAATTAATAAACAGGGGCGGATCCAGAGATATTTTCTGAGAGTCTTCCAAATTATATTTGTTGATCCTTCCTCCATTTTGACCGTCTTCCGACAGAAAAAATTAGATACCCGTCAATGTAAACTTGAAAATCTGACCGTCTTCCGGAAGACCCAGAAGACGGCCAAAATCCGCCCCTGATAAAGGCATAAATTAGAAGACAGATTATTCAGTAGCAACAAGCATCATATTATGATGAGTGGAAGACTCCAACCAGTTGAATTATTATTATTATTATTATTATTATTATTATTATTATTACAAATTGTTTGTAAACAAAAGTGGTAACCTAGCACGTACAGGACGTTTTATAAACTTTCCATAACGTTTTTTTTTCGGTTATATAAACGTTATGGTAACGTTATAATAACGTTCCATGTTTGTTGGAAATACACTCGTATACTTACACGTTGGCAGGGGTGGCGTCAACTGTTTCTGTCACAG